CTTGCTCAGCTTTCACCTCCTTAGACTTCTTTTAGCTAAGGTTTTTATAATTTTATCTTGTAACTACCGTTTTGCTAACTGTAGCTTTAAGCAACTCTTTTGTTCATTTTAGCTTTTCTCTGTTTTTGCTCATTTTAAGCTTTAGCTGTGGTTTTGTGGGAGTGGTGGAGCAGAGGTTAGAGAAGGCAAGCTTGTGATTTGAAAGTTGCTAGTTCAAATCCCATTATTGTTACATCAAAAATATGGGTATGAATGATGATCATCTTCCTCCACCCTCAGGGCACTTTAGCAAGGCCCATTAATTACTCCACCTTCTGCTCCCCTGGAGGCCCTAGACGGGAGCCCCCCGCTCCACACAGAGGCTGTGGTAGCTCGGGGGTCTGTGGTTGTGTCAGGAAGGGCATCCGGGTTAAAAACAACTGCCAAGTCTTCCTGCAAGTTCACTTTCTGTGTGACCCATGACGAAGGGAGCAGTTGAAAGAAAAAAGAAGCCTTTAGCTGTGGTTTAGCTAAATTAGGCTTTTAGCTATGGTTTATTTTATATTAGCTCTGTTAGTATTTTATCTAGACCGACCCTGGGTTTGCGATGTGACGTCTGGCCCTTCCAGTCCAAGATCTCACGTTGAAATTGTATCGTAGAGGCCAGCACGGTAAACTTTATATTTCCTCCTGCCTTGATTTAATATAACGAGTAAAACTTAATTCACGTTTCCTTGATTTATTGAGATATTGTGAGTTGCTACTTCTGAGGGAGGTTCAAGCTGGGGGCCGCGTGGCTGGAGGTGGGCCTGGGGTCTGAGATGAGGCCTGAGGCCTACAGCTAGCAACAGCTAGCAACAGCTTTAGCTACTGTTTTCTTAAATTCATCTTTTAGGTAACTGTAGGTTTTAGCTGCTGTTTTACTAATTTTACCCTTCAGCTACATTTGTGCAAATCTTAGCATTTAGCTAGAATTGGTTAATATTAGCTTTTGCATATCAGTTTTTCAAATTTGAACTTTTAAATCAATATTACTAAATTTAACGTTTGCTTATGGTTTTGCTGATTTTATCATTTTTTTTCTGCTCGTTTAACAATTTATTCAACAAATCTCTGCAGTGTTTCAGTGCTCGACATTTATTGTCTCTTTTTTTATTTATTGTTTTTGGTTTAAGATTTTCTCCTCATGCAGCTTCTAGTTGGAGAAGGTTGTTGGGGGGTTGTCGGCGACCTCCTGCTGAGCAGCTGAACATTAAACATTTGAGTGTGAGGATCTTAAATCTGTCGGTTGCTCCCGGCAGCCCTCCTCTTCCTCCTAACCACCTTCTGTGTGCGTTTCACAGACAGGACCGATGAGGCTTTGTGCTCACAGCTGCAAACGATGGAAACATGGAAGTAAATGAAAAGAAGTTATTTTTATTTATAGGCTTTGAAAGGCCTTTAATGAACACACAAACCTCCAAGTTGTACAAACAGGAAAACTTGTTGCAGACAGGTGTGTGTGAGGTTGTTCCCAGTAATACAGTTCATTAAAAAAGTACATGTGAGGACTTAAGACATTCAAAATAGTTCCTGTCAAAAGTTCTTAAAGCCTTACCCTTAATGAATTTAACATTTTCTAAATAATTCATAATATACCTGCCAAGTATCACGTCAATGTTTTTATGGTGATGACTCTCAGCCACACCAAATTGAAGCTCAGTGTTTGGTAAATTTAGAGAGAGTAACACGTTTGTATTTTCTGAGGTTCGTTAGCCGTAGCAGCCATCTTGAACTGAGCTGGCTTCAAAAGTTCATTTTTGTCGATGTCTATTCAGTCAATATTTTTTAGAGTTTCTTTAAAATCCACCCACAAGTTCATGAAATATTCTGCTAACAGACAGGTAGGGCTGACACCAATAGATAATGGCAACACTTTAAACAGTTAGTGCTCACAGTATGGGTTGTGAAAAACAAAAAGAACAGCATTAAATAAAAAATATAAAATGGCAAAAGTTTTATTGTTTGACGTTCTCCATTGTTGCATACCTGAGTTAGATTTGCAGGACAGGTACATGTGACGGCATCCGTGTCTGGGTTGGTTTGTCTTCTCACGTGTGGAAGACTTCTCTTCTTGTTCGCAGGGCACTTAAACGCAGCAGAGTTCCCTCCCTGTTTATATATATATA